AGTAAGATTGAGGCAAAGTAGGATATCTAAAAGGAGAAGACATTGGAGAAAATAGAATGTAGGGAAGGGGCAAGAGGTAAAAAAGAGGAGGGGAAGCTAATCCCATTTGGTGCACCTTCTTATTGACAATAAACAAATAAGGAAGGCCATAGATTATGCAATTTTCTTTCCTTCCACAGGTGGGAGGAAAAAAATTGCTCGATTCCCCCATCATTCTTGACTGTGTTGGTGGGGGAATCCCTTCCTCAGTGCTATTGTCTTCTGCCGGCGGGGAGCCTTCCCTACCAGCAGAACACACAGATTAATGTTGGGCTATAGCTAGAGGCACTAACTGTTCAGGAACAACCCATCAGGCTGATTGTATACACCAGGGTGCTGGACTGGCCGAATTTTCGATCCATGTATGTGCACTTCCCGACCGGCCGTTGCATATAAACGGCCGGACGGTGGCACTGCAGGGTCGGGTGGCCATTTATAAACGGCCTCCCCGCACCCTGTTTGTGCGCACTCCCTGGGAGCGCGCAGCACCGCGATCCGGTGCCTGCTGTGTCCTCCGGACACAGTGAAACACCGATCGTCGGACGGGACCTCTGTACGAGGTCCTGATCATGTGATCACTGATTGGCCAATCAGTGATCACATGCAAAGTAGTAAGCAAGATGTCACTTGTGACATCATTGCTTACTACGTGTGAAATCTGTGAATGATCACAGAGGTCACATGGTACAAGGCTATTCACAACAGCCTTGTACCATGTGACAAGCTGTGACCAATCACAGCTCACTCAGTACTTCTCAATGAGTGCAAGAATGCAGACAGAGAGAAAGAGAAATGATTGCTTTTACATCCTATATGGGTGTAAAAGCAATCAGTGTAAAAAAAAAAAAAAAATCTTCATCACCCCCCACAAGTAGTACAGTGTCACCATGGTGACACTGTACTGCTAGGGTGACAGTATGTAAAAAAAATAAATAAATAAAAAAATAATATAAAAAAATAAAATAAAAATGTAAAAAAAAAAAAAAAAAATTATAATTTTTGGTTATAAACTAATTTGGATTTTTTTTTTACTAAAAAGATAACGGAATAAATTTTGGCCAAGATTTATGATGAAATATTATTTATTTGCAAAATTTTATTAAAAAAAACACTTTTTTTCAAAATTTTGGGACTTTTTCATTTACATAGCAAAAAAAATAAAAATCCCAGCGGTGAATAAATACCACCAAAATAAAGCTTTATCTGTCTCAAAAAAATGGTAAAAAATTCATTTGGGTACAGTGTTGCATGACCGCGCAATTGTCATTTAAAGTGTGATAGCGCTGAAAGCTGAAAATTGCCCTGGTCAGGAAGGGGGTATAAGTGTCTGGTCTGGAAGTGGTTAAGAATGACTGGTCGAAGGACGATGAAAATGTAATATAAATATGTAAAGTGTAACAATTATTCCTTAGCATGCAATCTGCTTGGGAAAAAAATATCTGCTGCTAGGAATGGTTCAATTTTTTGTTTCTGTAATATTAAACAGGGTTGGCTAAGTGAGAGATTCAAGTCAATGGGAGTAACACTCGTTTATTAGAATGTAGTTTGTATACTCCATTGAAAACTCTTATTTAATGAGCTTTTATAATATATTAAAGCTCAGATTTTAGAGGAAAATGCACTGAAGAACAGAATGTAAAGCCATAATACAAACATTTTTTTCTGATATAAATCAATGAAAAAAATGACAGATTCCTAGGCTGCACCTCCCCGCTATTATATGAATGCCATGTGCTGGGAATCAAACTCAACCGCCCACACTCATAACTTGATGCAGGAAAGAAACACTGCCATACACCAATGGCATTACTGGAATCCAAGTTTATTTCATGAAAAAAAACACAATCACTGCAATGATAGTCCCTACACTGGGACCGACCCCACTAACACATTTCACCAAACTGGGCTTAATCGTATAGATCTCTACAGATTCCAGTGACACCGTGTGTGTACAGCAGTCTTACTTTCCTGCATTGACAAAATTGTGAACAAGAATCTGATTTTTGATGCTCAGTGTGAGCCCCCCCCCCCCCCCCCCCCCCCATGTCAGTGCAGTATCAGTGTCTGGATTGAAGCAGTAATAAAACTGCCAGCTCCTAGTTCTAAGCAGATGGTGATCCTCTGAAATCCCAAAGGTGCTCATTGTTTCTCAGGGTCACCATTTGTGTTTAGAACCTTGGATAAAGACACAGATGTCTAAGACTAAGGGGGTTGTTGAATTGCGCCTGTAAGTACAAGTGTCCTTTGGTGTTTGTGTGTGTCAGGGTCTGTGTACCCATCAGAGCCGGATCTAGGGGGGTGCTGGGGAGGGCTGTGCCCACCTCGATTTTAGCTGTGCCCCCCCCAGGTCTCTAAAAATGCATCCACTAATCCATGAGCCAGTCTGATGCAGACAGTTGATATAAGGAGGCACACAGATGGGTACAATCCATGTAAGGGGAGCACTCTGATGGGGACACCTGATGTAAGGGGGCACTCTGATGGGGTCTCTGATAGGACACCTGATGTAAGGGGGCACTCTGATGGGGTCTCTGATAGGACACCTGATGCAAGGGGGCACTCTGATGGGGTCTCTGATAGGACACCTGATGTAAGGGGGGCACTCTGATGGGGTCTCTGATAGGACACCTGATGTAAGGGGGCACTCTGATGGGGTCTCTGATAGGACACCTGATGTAAGGGGGCACTCTGATAGGACACCTGATGTAAGGGGGCACTCTGATGGGGTCTCTGATAGGATACCTGATGTAAGGGTGCACTCTGATGGGGACTTTGATGGGACGCCTGATGTAAAGGGCCACTCTGATGGGGACACCTAATGTAAGGGGGCACTCTGATGGGGAAAGTTGATGTAAGGGGGAACTCTGATGGAGGCACTCTCATGGGGACACCTGATGGGAACTCAATGTAAAGGAGGCCTCTGATGAGGACTCCTGATTTAAAGAGGGACTCTGATAGGAACATCTGATATAAGGAGGACAGGTTCTGTGTCAGCCTGATACATACTAGTGCTTCCCAGGTCATGACACTGTGTGACAGACTCTCTGATTCACACAGTGTTGGCATTATGCCCCATGACTTTTTTTTTTTACTGCACCCCCAGACCAGATAGGCTAGATCCGGCCCTGGTACCCATCCCTGTGTAGCTGAGTCCATACAGCTGATGCATCTCCATTTACTTTTTATAGGCTGCCTGCATGCATGCTGTACAGGGCTGAGCGCTCACATGAATGACCCCTAACAGGACAGACAGGAAAATGACACCCCTTATGTCTTAGTTCAGCATTACAGCTTCTTGTGTCATGTGCTTGTGTCTTGTGTAATTGTATGGAATTACCATCCAAAGAGCAATCTGGTGATGTGTGAATCTACAGGAAGGAATTAGTGGTGTCACCTGCCTGGCTGTGCAGTATGGCAGGAGTGTGTTAAACACAAGACTGAAAAGATGTAGGAATTCTTTGGCAGCTGAAACAGTTCACTTGTATGCAGCTGTTTATTTGGCTGTTTGCATTAACTTCCACAAATCCCTTAAAGTGAAATATGCATATACCTCCATAGTGTGTCTCAATTAAGAGCACTAAATGTCATCTCTGTCTGCTGCTTAGTTCCTCTGCTATCAGCATAAATCACTTTTGACAAGTTTCCCTGACACCAAGAGAAAAATGATGACAGGGGAAAGAACCTCCAGCAGACTGACAGCCTCAGCTCTGTTCCTGTGTGCTGTGTAAAGGGGTGTGTCCCTGCCCTCCAATCAGCTCTCAGAGCTGTCCTCACTGAGCTCTGCAGTGTGTAATTTCAGCTCTCCACTCTCAACTCTCAGACAAGCTTTATAAATTCAGCACTTTTGTAGAGAAGAGAAGATGGCAGATAAAGAGGTACATCTTATGTAGGAGGATTTGGTTCATCTCTGTGTATCACCTGAGGCCACTCACTTCACTGGGTATATGTGAGCAAGAGCTTGTTCAATAAATTTGTTAAAAAAAAAAAAGTAAACCGCAGTTGGCGTGTGTGCTGTGAAGGGAAGGGTGTCGATGCGTTGAATTCATGCAGTGCACAATTGACTTTTTCTTCCAACTTCATTGAAATGTCACACAATTACAATTCATTTGTCTTTATTCACTGCAGTGCGTTGTGACGCAGAGTAGTGTATTGCGACATTCTGCGCTAAAAAAATGACTTCTTTCAGCGTACATCTCTGTGCGCTGTGATGTGAACTGATCTGACAGAACTCGAGATATATTGCATTGTCCTTGTGTTGTGCCTGCATTGCACAATGCAGCCAAAAGAGGCTGGTATGGATGAGCCCTAAGTCGAAGCAAAATAAAAAAACAAATTCATTACATATTTGCAATACATGCATGCCCCCCACACCCCACACACACACACACACACACACACACACACACTTTGTCTCTTTAAAACCCCTCTCAATAACATAAGAGGGAGGTGTTCTGTAGTCCAGAACTCAGAGAGGACTGACAGCACTGCTTCTGATTTCCGGGCAGAGGCAGAGTTGTCACCTTAATACAAAAAGCCAGGAGCTTGCTGGATGTATGGCAGGATCAACAGGTATTTTTTGTACTTGCAGTGTTTTTTAAAGCAGAAGGGGAAAAGTCCATGTGTTGCAGAGATGTACTAAATAGGATTTTTTTTTTGACCCAGAAATACATCCTCAATTTCATGCCATCAACTTTTCTCCTATCTGGAAGGTAAAATGTTAAATGCTGTAGTCATTGGCTGTGATGTGATTATCAGCAGACTGCTAATAGAGGAGAACAAGTGTCAGTGCTTTATGTACAGTACACAGATACAGATAAAGCAGGTGCTGAAGGCAGATAAGGACCTGCCAGGGGGACAGTCAGTAGGTCTTATAAGAGGTACTTATCGTCCATCATCTGCTGTGTATATAGAACTAGCTGTGCTGATTCATGTTTGCCCAGCCAGCAGTCTGCTCTACTCACCAGTTTCAGGGACTGCAGAGAGGGACTCTTCTTTATCTTCCCGGACTTCACTGATCCATCACATGACTCATTGTCTCCATGTGCTGAACTGGACACACCAAGGTCAGGGGAAGAAATCTGCTCCAGACTAGAGGACCTGAAACGCTCCAGCTTGGGCCGCGAGGTCAGGCCAATACTGGAAAAGATTTTCCTCATCCCGCTACGGATGTCTCCCTTTTTTACTGCAAGCTGCAATGAGCTGTGGGGTGCAAGACACAAGGATGCCTGTTAGTGACATAGCTAAACCGTCCTGTTAATAGAAGAGCATTTTTTAATATCCAACAGAAAAACTATTTCTCCATTTTATTGCACATGTTGCTGTGTGGTACACTATGTATGTTAATATTATATACAGAGATTTGTAGTTGCTGCTTCTGGCTGTTTGTATGTGAGGTAGTGCAGTCAGCATCCTTGCTGAATGCCTGCTCTGAGAAAACTACTTCCAGGTGAAACTCCTACATATGAAAAGGATCTACATGGGCTGGCCATATTGTGTTATTCTGCATTTTGGGGAAAAAAAAGAAGAGATATCAACCTCCCCAAAATATGTGTAGTTAGGTAAAACTCAGAGACAAAACCTTTAGTTCTTAATGAAATCTGTTGGCAATCTATAGCTGATCATGGGCAATAGATGATGGTTGGACTTGGTTTACACAGCTAGCATTGCAGCTTATCAATTCTTAGTCAAGGTGGCTGCATTTGTTTTCATGAGGTTCCCATGCAGGCTACGTTTTCAGAAGAGGTGCAGGGACTTCTTCTCTGCATGTCACAGGGCACGGGAGCCCATTCAAATGAATGGGCTCTCGTGCCCGCGCTAAACGCGGCCCACACGGACGCATATATGTGAACCAGGGGTTAGGCAGGAATTGTGTTCCTGGCTAGATCACCAGGGAAAAATAGCCAAAAAAAGAAAAAAAACAGCCACCACATTTAATTATTGGTAATCTGCCATATATAAAATGTTTGTTTTTGGGTTTAATATTTTAAAGTGGAATTGAAACTTCAAAAAAGGCAACTGTGATAGATAAATGTTTCCCCCTACTTGTCAGTTCTTAGAAATATCATGGGGAGCCTGCACACCCTACCTGACAAGGCCATAACCTCCGCCCCCCCCCCAAAAAAAAAAAAAAAATCAGAACAATGTTTGTGTTAATACAATAAAATCATTATTAGGGAACACAATCAAACAAAATTCCTGCTTAGCCCCGGTCACATCAAAGCCGATTTTGAAATCGTGCAACTTACAGTGAAGTCGCACGTTTTCAAAATCAGGTGACCTGCCAATTTTAGTTGCCATTTGCAAGACATCTGACACAGATGTCTATGCAAATCGCAACAAAAGTAATGCATGTACTACTTTAGAAATCGGTGCGGCTCCAACCAAATCTGCTCTAATAGCAGACAATAGGGTGCGCCTTGGGATACAATTTTCAAGTCACATGGCATGCAAATCACATACCAAGTCACACCTGATGTGATCGGGGTGTAAATCTAAAAGATAAAACTGTATTGAGTTACTATAGCTCTGTGTGTAATGAGGTCTGGGGGCTTATTCAGGGTGGCCTGTACAGTGTGAATCACTGGCTGAAGCTGTGTGCAGGCAGCCTGTATTACAGCCTTATGCTGGAAGAGTGCAGCTGCAGGTCCTAATTTGATGTGTATGTGGGTACAGGTCTATGACCCCAAGCATAGACAGCAGATCCTGTACAGGAGGGGGTGATCGGAGGGGGGAGGGGGGCTTTTACTGTAACTGATACTTCTGTAGTCTCCCCCCACCCCTGCAGCAGCTGAAAGCCAGTGGGAGAGGAGGGAAGCCGGAAGTGCTGCTGGGGGAGGGGAGAGGACAGTCAGCTGGGGGAATCACATCCTGTACAGGAGGGGTTGATCAGTTTGCTGGGGGTAATTACAAGAAACAATCCCCTGTATGACTCTCCCTGCATCAGGTGAAAGCTGGCAGGAGGGAGAAGAGGAGTAGCCGACTTTCAGCTGCTGCAGGGAGAGCCATACAGGGGATCTGTGTCTGTAATTACCCCCTGGCAAACCGATCACCCTGTCATGTACAGGATCCGATTTTTTTCAGCTTTCCAGGCCCCCTCTGCTGAACTGAAAGGGCCCGGGCTTCGTACAGGAGCCCCATTGTAACCCCTTATTGGTGACCTTGCCTGCCAGAAGTAATGTAATCATGCATGCAACCCCAATGTACATTTACAGCACCCCCTCTTTGCTACGAAGATGTGGCTCCCATGCACATGCATGGCAGTGACATCATCGTCATTTAAGCGGCTGAACAGATGGAACCCAGAAAGAAACCTGGGAAAATATGAAAGCGCCGGTGACAGCAGACAGTGCAGCACTGGTGGGTTGGTGTCACAGGTAAGTCTGCCATAATGTGCTAATATACGGTGCTAACACAATATAGCATAACATTCCTGGGGCCCATTTAATAAAAAAAAATATCAGAGTTTATTTTGCTTTGAGTCTGTGACAAATCCAGCCTAGACAGTTACCAGAACTTCCAAAAATGATCAGCTGGTACCCAAAGCAAGAGGAAATCAGCCACCCCAAAACAATGGTCTCATGTCTACAAGAACCTAAAAAATGGTAATCTGCAATATAACAAACTTTTCGGTTCTGGTTTTATATCCACTTTAAGGGCTCTTGCACAGTTACAGTGGAGTGTGGTGCCCTCTGAAGAGAAATCTGCATTCGGATTGCTTTTAAGTCAATTCTAGCGACCACTCAGAATGTTTGACTTCCCTCACTTTCATTAAAAGGACAATTGTCACCAGGAAGTATAGTAGTATAGTAAAGGTGACTCTCCCTAGTAGGGGCGCAGACTGCAATAAAAACAGTAATTCTACCCTTCTATACTTTATCCCCCAAAAGATGGATCTAGATACACTTCAGGTTTTTGTGGAGAATAAAGCATTATATATCAAATTCTGCAGGAGAGTAACAATACAGTAGAACTGAAGGCAAACCACTTTTTTTTTTATTTCAGATATAGTAAGGGAGGGTTATAACCCCTATCAAGTATTTTGCCATCTGTGTCCCATTGGGGAGATTTCCCTTCACCTTCTGCCCCATAGCCACAACAGAAAGTTAAAGGAAATTACAACAAAGTGAAGGAAATCTCTGCTTTTCACCAGATCACCAGAACTAGTGTTCCCATTTCTAAAGTGTTCTGGCCACCACTCACAATTTAGGATTTTCTTTCACTATTACTGATGACGATCCCCACAGAGAGCAAGAAAAACCTGTCACGTGTTCTAACTCCTCTCCACTTCATCTAAAACTAGAAAAAAAATATTTTGCCATCAGTTACACTTTAACCCCTTGATTCCGGCGACTCCCGGCCCTTTAAGGGTTTCAGAAGCTGGGAGACAGGGTTTACGGTCATGCGACCACCATGACACGACGTCACAATGGTCATATGATCGGGAAAGGTCCCAATCGAAAGAGGAGATCGAGACCTTTCTGTGAGTACCGCACATGTGTGCTGGGAGCGCGCAGGGCTAGAGCTCTCAGCACATATGTTTTTTTTTTAATAGAATGCAAATGTGCGGCCACTCGGCATCTATGCCTAGACACCGGGAGGTCGCACATTTTCAGTCAGCCGGCATGAAGAGTTTAAAGGAAAGTTGTACTCAGATAAAGAAACTAGTGTTTGGGAGCACGCACGGCATGAGCACGCACGGCATGAGCTCTCAGCACATATGTTTTTTTTTTAACAGACTGCAAATGTGCGGCCGCTCGGCGTCTATGCCCAGACGCCGGGAGGCCGCACATTTTCAGTCGGCCGGCATGAAGAGTTTAAAGGAAAGTTGTACTCAGATAAAGAAACTAGTGTTAAAGCGGAGTTCCACTCAAAAGTGGAAGCTCTGCTTATTTGCCTCCTCCCCCCTCCACTGCCATATTTGGCACCTTTTGGGGGGAGTGGATATCTGGTTTTGACAGGTACCCGTTCCCACTTTCTGCTCAGTTTGCCGCGGCGAAGTGAGCCGGAAGTTCGTCCCCCTCCTTCCTCCCGCAGTCTCCTGGGAACCTTCACAGGTCCCAGAAGACTGCCGGACCAATGAGAATGTGCAGTGCGACTCGCACATGCGCAGTGGGCACCCGGCTGTGAAGCCACAAGCTATCACAGCCTGGTGCCCACAGTTGTGATGCCGGCGCCGGGGAGAGAAGAGGCAGTGAAGGGACGGTGCGGGTGAGAACATCGCTGGACTCCGGAACAGGTAAGTGTGTGTTTATTAAATGTCAGCAGCTACAGTTTTTTGTAGATTCTGACTTTTAATAAACACAAAGAACACTAAATTATTTCTGAAAATGCTATTTATCAGTCCTTTTGTGTTATTGAATGGAACAAGCATGTAGCAGGTGAAGCCACTTTTCTTGATTTTAATTGGCCTTGGGCCATCTACAAGTAATGTATTAAAGGCAGATGATGAACATGTCAGTGAGGCAATGATCAGTTTCTGATGAAGAGGTCTCAGGTTTCTTTTAAGGCTACCTATGTACCTATCTATGTATGTAGCATTCACTCACCCCTCATCTGTTACTTCCAGGTACCGGTCCTTGGTTGAAATTCCCAAATCACTTGTTTGGCAGTAAAAGCTGTTTTCACGGGAATATTGGCCAGATCCTTTAAAAAGAAAGTCAAATGTAGATGCAAAAAAAAATCAGTTTCACATTTCTACCTTTTAGGTACAGCATACCTGTCGCTCTATCCATTTTCCTGAACTACGGTATATTTAGACAAGGTGTTCCCGATACACTGCACCAAATAAATACCACAACAGAACCACACATTATCCAAAGACATACAATATTAACAATCCCAAGTGTACTCGGTCCTTCAGAGGGAAGGTATTCTAGAAGCAGGTTCATGAGTGTTCATAGGATCTCTATTATCCTGCCTTGTCTGGAGGAAGGTGGAAAGGTCTGGCAGCAGAGTCTTAGAATACCAGGAATGTATAAGGGAAATGTTAAGGATATGTACATGATGAAATGACTTAGCCCAGGCCCCTTAAAACCCACCGAACATGTTATGTGACTTTTACTGGGAAAATAAAATGAGAATGTGCTGTTGCGGGTAGGCAGCATCGAATGGAACTGAACCACTAATGTTTCCCTTGGGGAACCCAAGTGGCTTATGCCTGGTTTGCTCCTTCATTTCGGCTTTTCAATAATAGGATGGACTGGGCAAGTCCCACAGACATTCTGTGTCAATGATTTATTTGAAATCAACTAGAGATCATTATCCGTGGCCAGCTTTTTTTATTGGGCGCAGAAGATGTTTTATAATTCTTGGACAATCCCTTGATTGAGTCAGAATTTTACTGGCCACATGCAGCAGATTTAAAGCAAATTTAACTTGCTTTCAATTCCAGAAACAACCGTATGTACTTAGTGGTGTATTTAGGTTTTGTGCTGCCCTAGGCAACACAAACATCGTCTGTCCCCACGGACACCAACCAACACAACCCCCCCTTCCTCCTCCTGATATTCAGAGAGAGCCTGATATTCACCAACAACCCCCATGCCTCCCACCCGGGAGAGCCTTCCACTACCCCCCTTACCTGGTGATACAGAAACACTCATCTTCACAGCTCCGGACATCTCCGGGTACAAGAGCCAGGCTCTACATACATCATCAAGCAGCCCGCAGCCTCTCTCGGATCCCACGGTGCACGTGTCCCTTCTTTCATCCCTTCTTCTGGGGAGAGGCCCTGCCGCCCTAAAAAATACCGCCCTAGGCAAGTGCCTTGTGGTAAATATGCCCCTGTATGTACTAAGGAAATACCACTAATATCTTAGATATTTGCACAGTGTCAACAGAAACTGTTGATGACTGGTTGCACAGTTCCATTTGGTTGTTTTTGACATAGGAAGCAGGTTGAAATTGCCAGATATTTGGTCAGCATGGACGATATGCATCATGTTCCACCACCACATCCTGAGAAGTACAGTATTTATTTTATGTATCAATGGCAGAAAGCTTAATCTCCAAAATGATACATATACTCTGATGTGACTCTGTAGGTACTTTTAGCATAGCAAGCCATGCCACAGATCTGAGAATTGCTTGTGACAACCAGATCACACAGCAGTTAATAAAGAAAATGAAAATTCCTGATGCTGGAAGTGTTCACGAACACACATCGGGGTGGATTTACTAAAGGCAAATAGACTATTGCATTAATTTTCCTCAGATCTTAGTAAATACGGTAAAGCACTGCAGATTTCCATCATCCAATCATGTGCAAGCAAAAATGCTTTTTTTTTTATTTGCCTTGCATCTGATTGGATATTCCTTATAAAGTGAAGCTTTACAACATTACATTTACTAAGGAAATGAATGCTACTGCACTTGGAAAATGCACAGACTATTTGCTTTTAATAAATCCACCCCAGTGAGAATTTCTGACATGTTTCTGACATTTTGTAAGTCTAACTGTTCTTTTCTACACTGTCAAGGGTATATATTCTCTGCATGCATCTGTTGTTCAGCTAGTGACAAGATCACAGTGAGTCCTGTCAGTCCAAGAATTGAGGAGGACATCCGTGTGTTGATGTCACGGAGAGATCTATGACCACCCTTGTGGCTACACACTAGTAATATGATTGTTTAACAAATCTTTCAGTGCAACTAGACCGATTGAACTGAATATAAATCGCCATCCAGAGGCCTTCCATTTAACTGACTTATTGAGCTCTTGCTTAATTATGAATCCGCCAAGTTGATCATCCATGGTGGAATTTTGTTGATCACTTGAACAACTATCTCTATGTGTGTCAGAGAACCATATACAGATCAGTTTAATGATTACTTTGAATAGATTGTTTAAATCTTTGACTAATAGAACATATCTCTGATTGATCTTTTAGGTTGATCAGAATAATACATTGGTGGAATGGGGAGAAAAGTTTAATAAAACTGGACATGCATAGTAACCAATCAGCTTCTGACTACAGCTTATTCAGTTAATCTTTGAAAATTAAAGCTAGAAGCTGACTGGTTGCCACACATACACCTACTACAGCTGCTCCAGATTATGGCTGCTCCATTCTTAGTAAATCCCCCCCACTGTGTAAGTCACTGCATCAATACTTTAAAAAAGAAGCTTGGCTAAAGCTTTTTTGGCCATACTTCTCATTTGAGCACTTGCTTGTGCTCTCCTGTGACCCAGACTTGGCCAACAAAGGGCTAAAGCCTGCTGTCTGCTGCCTGTCCCACCTTCTGGGAAAACTCCCATAATGATGCTAGGCTCCAGGCTCTGGAATGATCCTGTAAATGTGGGATCCACCAAGATGTCTGATCGGCAGCTACCCCAGCCTCTCAATGAACCGCCTGAGCTAGCTGCTCCTGTCCCCTCCCTAGCCCATCATTCCACTGAGCACTGAGGGACAGTCACCACCCTCTGTTCATACCTAACTGGGAATTGGGCAATCCGTGGTCATGTGATCGCTCATTTTTCAGGCTTAGAGCCACCAGAGAACTGACTGATGCTGCAGCATGGAGGAGAGTGCGTATGTTTGTTTTTTGCATTCTCACACTTCTTTAATCAATGAGGAGTCATTTGTTTATGATCGTTTATACCTAGTTTGATCACAAATCTCAAATGGGTATGGCCACCATTAGATAGCCTGCAGCATGAATGCAATAAAGGATTTTCTAACCTGTATTTGCGTTGTTGCTGCAAGTTAGCTGCCCGTTTATTCCTGACTTTTCAGTGCACTTTTCTTCTCTTTTAGAATGATGTGTTTCACTCTTCTCCGGTTCCTTAGATAGGTTTGGTGAACCATGGTCTTTGTCTCTTTGGTCTTTGAATGATGGATGTCTATCATAGTCTTTTTGTCTACTGCTGGTGTAAGGTCTGTCAAGTTCCCTTGGTTCCTGGTGTTTTATGAAGTCCCCATTTTCCTTGACTTCCTTCATCTTTTTGGTCTCTGTGTGTTTCTTCAATTTCTGAGTCCGTTCTCTAGATTTATAATCTTTAGATGTCATGCCTTGAGTAGAAAGTTGGTGACCATCTAAAGCCACAGGGGTTTCTTGAGTGTTTTTCTTGCTGTTTGGCACTGGTTTGAATAGAGGTTCCCTTATATCATGGGAGGCTTGCACTATGTCTCCTTCCTGTAAGTTGTGTACCTGCTGACTGATGCCTCCTGGCCGTAGTGTAAGTCTATTTCTTGATGGCATCATTATTGGAGCTTTCCCAGAAGGTGGTACAGGCACATGGCCAGACATATAAGGGGATGAAATAACTTGTGACATGCACTGAATCACTGGAGTAACCTGAGTTCTACAATCTGTCAAATTCATTCTAGAATTTCCTTCTTTAGTGTCCATATTTAGCACAACAGCCCCAATTTCAGTTTCTTGGATGGATGGGTTCTGTTTAGTGTCAAATTCTAGAGCTAAATTTTTGTGTCTTTGTGTGAGTTTTGCTTCTGTATTTTGTGGACTCTTCCTTAAGCCAGTCCTCACAGAGTCCACACAATAACTTCTTGCAGAAGTGCCCATCTCCTGATTTGTTTCTGATGTTTTGCCTACAAATTCTAAGTGGTTTGACTTATTTTTTCCCCTACTTTTTAAAACATTACTTGAAGTAGAGACTCTGTTTCCATTGTTTTGTTCGATGAGGGATCTACCCACTCTTTTTTCACTCTCAGAGTATGTACTTGAAGGGAGTATCTTGGCTCCTTGTTCAGGAGTTGCATTGGCTGAGTTATTTCTACAGTGTCTGTGCATTCCCCAGTCACGACTTTTGGTATTGTGGCTTCGATTACCATCATCATCTCCAGACGAATCAGGAGTAGAGTCACTGCCAATGTGCGTTTCACGAACCAACTCAGTATACATTCGCCATGGCTGAGAAGGCAAAATCCAGTGGGGAGAAGGTTTGACCCCCAGAGGGCAGCTCACGGAGCCATCCTGAGTCATTCTGGACCCCAAATGGACATTGCGTAGGTTTGTACCATGCGTGCTAGCTGGACTGGTACCTGTTCCTTTGACATAAGAGCCACATGTTCCACACTGTCCATGCCCTGAAGGTGGCAGCTGCTCTGTCCATGAAACAGGACCATTTGACTGTCTCTTGGGTGGTGGAGTAGAGAGCTTCTGTGGAACCTGTTGTCGTTCTCTGTATCTTTCTTCAGCATCCCGCTCAGACTCATCCTGGAAGCGTACATGAGAGGGTGAACTCCCTCGAGAGCCTTTGTGCCAAGAAGAATACTCGCTGCTGGAGCTGTCACTTAGGGATCCTCCGTCTGTCACAGCACCTGAGATGTTGGGGCCTCTATAAAATTAAAATATGAAATGTGAGGGAAAAAAATTATTTACATTTGCTGTAAAGTTATAAAATACTAACACCATTGCCTTCCATAAAGGGGAACTCCAGCTTATAGCTTTGTTTTTTGACTAAGGGTTGTTTTTTTTTTTTTTAAAGTAAGGGAGGGTTATAACCCTTGTCAGTTTTTTTGCAATCTGTGTCCCATTAGGAAGATTTCTCTTCACTCTTCGTAACCAAAACAGGCAGTTTGGTGAGGAAATCCCACCAAACTGAGAAAATCACTGGTTGTCACCAGGGTTACTGGAATAGCGGTTTGCTCTGGAAGATTTCCCTACTATTCCTGCTCTGGTAACTGCTTAAAATTTTGGATTTTCTTTCACTTTCAGCTTTTGTGAGAACGATAAGCAAGAGAAATAGAGAGGTTGAATGTCCTAATAGGGGCAAAGACCGTGGTAAAAACCTGACAGGTATTCTAATCCCTCCCCATGCTATTCAAAATTAAAAGAGTGTTTGCTTTAGTTGTACTTTAATTATACCCTTAAAGAGTTTTGTTATTTAATATCCATTTAGTAAGAACAAAAAAATGTTGATAAAATTCAGAGCTGTCCCATTGCACATTGTATTATCTCACAGAGCCTAATTAGCCCTCCACATTCTTGTCTTGGACTTTCACATACTCTCTATGTTGTGGAGATTAGAAGAGTAGGGAGATTCATTATTAGAAGGGCAGCCAGGGGCATATTTGCCGCGAGGCAAACAAGGCATTTGCCTAAGGCGGCACTTTTTAGGAGGGCGGCAATGCCGCCCCCCCTTTCCCACGAAAGGGACACTTAGTACAGGGGCGGGCTGCTGTACCTTACCTGGGTCTGCGACTCCGTGTCCCAGTCCCACGTCGAACCGGTCCACGAGGCACTGCTGGAGGAGGAGTAGAGAGGTTGACAGGTCAGCTGGTCCGGTGTCTTCAGTTCGCGATGTGTGGGTGGGATCACATGCGCCCCTGTCATCTGGCCACACCCCCAGGATCACTCAACAGCCTATGGCAGCTTGTCCCTCCCTCGGCAAGCTCCGCCTCCTCGCCAGTGATTGGCCACCAGAACTGTAGCTCAGGAAAGGCACACAGGCGGCCAATCACTGGAAAGGAGGCGGAGCTTGGAGAGGAGGAGCCGAGCGGCAGCGCAAAGATCAAAGAAGATCAAGTGAGCGAGAAGGAAGATAGCTGACAGGTAAGTGTCTGTGCCTTGCAGATGATGCTGCTGCAGACAGGTATGATGGCTGTGGATGGGAGAGGGAGCGAGCCCAGGCTGGATCAGGGGTCAGCAAGGTAAGTATCATTGGTGTCAGTGGGAGGAATAGTGCCCCATCATTGGTGTCACTAATACCAATGATGGGGCACTATTCCTCCCACTGGCACCAATGATGGGGCACTATTCCCCCCCCATTGACACCAACGATGGGGCACTATTCCTCCCCCCACTGACACCAACGATGGGGCACTATTCCTCCCCCCCACTGACACCAACGATGGGGCACTATTCCTCCCCCCCACTGACACCAACGATGGGGCACTATTCCTCCCCCCCCACTGACACCAACGATGGGGCACTATTTCTCTCCCCACTTACACCAACGATGGGGCACTATTTCTCCCCCCACTGACACCAACGATGGGGCACTATTTCTCCCCCCACTGACACCAACGATGGGGCACTATTTCTCCCCCCACTGACACCATTGATGGGGCTATATTCCTCCCACTGACACCAATGACAGGGCACTATTCCTCCCACTGACACTAATGACTGGAGCAGGGGTCAGCAAGGTAAGTATCATTGGTGTCAGTGGGAGGAATAGTGCCCCATCATTGGTGTCACTAATACCAATGATGGGGCACTATTCCTCCCACTGGCACCAATGATGGGGCACTATTCCCCCCCCATTGACACCAACGATGGGGCACTATTCCTCCCCCCACTGACACCAACGATGGGGCACTATTCCTCCCCCCCACTGACACCAACGATGGGGCACTATTCCTCCCCCCCACTGACACCAACGATGGGGCACTATTCCTCCCCCCCACTGACACCAACGATGGGGCACTATTTCTCTCCCCACTTACACCAACGATGGGGCACTATTTCTCCCCCCACTGACACCAACGATGGGGCACTATTTCTCCCCCCACTGACACCAACGATGGGGCACTATTTCTCCCCCCACTGACACCATTGATGGGGCTATATTCCTCCCACTGACACCAATGACAGGGCACTATTCCTCCCACTGACACTAATGACTGGAGCAGGGGTCAGCAAGGTAAGTATCATTGGTGTCAGTGGGAGGAATAGTGCCCCATCATTGGTGTCACTAATACCAATGATGGGGCACTATTCCTCCCACTGGCACCAATGATGGGGCACTATTCCCCCCCCCATTGACACCAACGATGGGGCACTATTCCTCCCCCCACTGACACCAACGATGGGGCACTATTCCTCCCCCCCACTGACACCAACGATGGGGCACTATTTCTCCCCCCACTGACACCAACGATGGGGCACTATTTCTCCCCCCACTGACACCAACGATGGGGCTATATTCCTCCCACTGACACCAATGACAGGGCACTATTCCTCCCACTGACACTAATGACGGGGTACTATTCCCCCCCCCCGACACCAATGATGGGGCACTATTCCCCCCCCCCACTGACACCAACGATGGGGCACTATTCCCCTCCACTGACACCAATGATGGGGCACTATTCCCCCCCCACACTGACCCCATTGACGGGGCACTATTCCTTCCACTGACACCAATGACGGGGCACTATTCCTCCCACTGGCACCAATGACGGGGCACTATTCCTCCTACTGACACCAATGACGGGGCACTATTCCTCCCACTGATACCAATGATGTGGCACTATTCCTTCCACTGACACCAACGATGGGGCACTATTCCTCTCACTGACACCATCGATGGGGCACTATTCCTCTCACTGACACCAATGATGGGGCACTATTCCTCCCACTGATACCAACGATTGGGCACTATTCCTTCCACTGACACCAATGATGGGGCACTATTCCTCTCACTGACACCAATGATGGGGCACTATTCCTCCCCCTGACACCAATGATGGGGCACTATTTCTCCCCCCTGACACCAATGATGAGGCACTATTCCTCACACTGATAGCAACAATGGGGCACTATTCCTTCCCCCACTGACACCAAGGATGGGGCACTATTTCTTCCCCCACTGACACCAGCGATGGGTCACTATTACGCTCACTGATACAAATGATGGGGCACTACTCCTCTCCACACTGACACTAATGATGGGGCACTTTTCCTTCCACTGCTACCAATGATGGGGCACTATTCCTTCCACTGACACCAACAATGGGGCACTATTCCTCCCACTGATACCAACAATGGGGCACTATTACTCTCACTAATACAAATGATGGGGCACTATTCCTCCCACACTGACGCTAATGATGGGGCACCATCGTTGGTGCCAGTGGGAGGAATAGTGCCCCATCATTATTGTCAGTGGGAGGAATAGTTCCCCCATCATTAGTGCCAGTGTGGGAGGAATAGTGCCCCATCATTGGTGTCAGTGGGAGGAATAGTGCCCCATCATTGGTGTCAGTGGGAGGAATAGTGCCCCATCATTGGTGTCAGTGGGAGGAATAGTGCCCCATCATTGGTGTCAGTGGGAGGAATAGTGCCCCATCATTGGTGTCAGTGGGAGGAATAGTGCCCCATCATTGGTGTCAGTGGGAGGAATAGTGCCCCATCATTGGTGTCAGTGGGAGGAATAGTGCCCCATCATTGGTGTCAGTGAGAGGAATAGTGCCCCATCATTGGTGTCAGTGAGAGGAATAGTGCCCCATCATTGGTGTCAGGAGAGGAATAGTGCCCCATCATTGGTGTCAGTGAGAGGAATAGTGCCCCATCATTGGTGTCAGTGAGAGGAATAGTGCCCCACCGTTGTTGTCAGTGGGAAGAAAAGCACCCCATCGTTGTTGTCAGTGGGAGGAATAGCGCCCCATCATTGTTGTCAGTGGGCAGAGCTCTAATATGAAAAGGTGGAGCCTGAATAGGAAGGGGTGGAGTTTACAGATGAAGGGGTGGGTCTTAAACAGGAAGGGGTGGGACAAATTTAGATGGGGGGGTGCCTGATTTTAGTGTTGCCTAGGGCAGCACAAAACCAAAATACACCACTGAGGGCAGCCATACATGGATCGAAAGTTGGTCGGTCTAGCAGGAACTGGACAAATTTCGAAACATATATGAGCAGGCTTAGTTGTACAGAAGTCAATTAGTAGATCCACTTCTGTACAACCAGCCTGTTGGTTTTGTTTCAGTGCCATTCTGATGGCAGGGAAGGACACAATAGCACAGCAGTAGTAATTCCCCCATCCACCTCGAATGTGTGGGTGGGGGCATCAGGTCATAATTAATGTATGAACAGCTTAACAAAAGACAACTGGACAGAGCTGACACTATTTTTGTGATTTCAGTCAGAAAATACTATGTGTTTTCAACCCTCAACAGAAAAATTAGTAGCTGAGTGCACTTTTGATATTTGCACTGTATTTGCATACAAATAAAGAATAAAACACGGGAGGGTTGTGCAAGTATTGCAGGGATGTACTGCATTTTTATTTTTTTTTGCCCTGTAAAGTTAAATTAAATACCAGTATTGAGTGGACTGATCCTTGTAGCCGCACAGATGCTACCATTAATGTAAAAGGGTATAAAGCTGGCCAATGATGAATCAAAATTCAATTGACATGTGGCCGCCCCTGTTCAACAGAACGGGAACAGGAATGATGGAAAATCTCTTGATTTCTCGTTGTATACTGACAGCAGAGAGTCCGGCTGTCAGAATACAATGTTCCAGTGGGGAGGATTCCTCCGTCCACCTCATTTATGAAGATGGGAAAATCCGTTTTGGCTTCTGGCTGATCAAAAAAAAAAAAAGTATTAGTCAGCCTTAAGGCAACATCCCAGACTGCCACATTCTTTACATAATATTACCCTTTGTGTAAACAAAAGTTTATCAGCCAGAATACAAAAGCAGCTACTCTATATATCTGTCACCACAGTACTTCTCTTTGATATCTCAGAGGAAAAGAACAAGAGAAAAAAATGCCTGGCCAATTCACAGTCTGCATTCACGTTTCATTAGCGTCGCCTTTTGTAGTGTGTGTTCTGTATGTGTACAATGCAATAAATAAAAAAAGAGATACAAACTCTTCCAACAATGAGTTCTTAAAAAGAATGCTTTTAAAATACTGAAGCTCATCTTATATCCCCACCATACATGTTACATCTTGCTTCCAGCATGACCAATATTACAAATACTCCTATCAATGACATTCTTTCCTTGTAGGATTAAATGCAGGATTGCACAGCTCCACTCCTCAAGGCCCAGGATACATATATGATTTTAAGAATCATCAGTGAATTTAGGTAAATCTACAAGATAGATACACATTTTTTCCAATCAGCTAATCAACAGATGCACACAAACAAGTTGGATAGAGCTGGGACAGAATGCAAAGATTGGGTCCAGCCACTGATTGAGGAAATTTTCCCACATTTCCTTTCTATAATGGCCAATCAAACATCGGCTTCTGTTAAGCGGGTTTTGCCACACATTTTGATCAAACTTTAGCCAGTCCTTGTTGAACTGGCTGGATTTTGATTAGTGTATGGCCAGCTTAAGGGTGAAAAGTGTGTGGACACTTGACCATCACACCTAGCAGTATATAATGATATCCATGATATCCTCCTCTCTAGCTCCCTCAACACCTCCTCCCACGCTCACCTCCAGGACTTCTCCAGAGCCTCTCCCATCCTCTGGAACCTCCTACTATAGCATGTCCGGTCAGCCCCCCACCCTGTCTGCCTTTAGGCGATCTTTGAAAACTTACTTCTTCAGGGAAGCCTACCACACCTCCACCTAAGAACTGTACTTGAATCACCTCCACCAGATCATCCCCCGCAGCTATCACCTTTTGTATCACCTCCCCCTTCCTTTAGATTGTAAGCTCCACGAGCCGGGCCCTCCTATTCCTTCTGTATTGAAATGTATTGTAATTGTACTGTATATTGTAAAGCTGTTGGCGCTATATAAATCCTGTATAATAATAATAAACAAATGTATGTGGATACCCCTGAAAGTTATAGAGTTCAGGTGTTTCCAGGGAAGCATAAAGCACACAATACAAAAAGGCATTTAGACAAACATGCACTTCCAACCTTGTGGCAACAGTTTAAGGAAAACCCTTTCCTTTGTGTCCCTGTGGACAAGCCAGCTCTAGAAAAGACATGGTTTGAGGAGTTTGGTGTGGAGGACTGAATTGGCCTACAAAGAGCTCTGATCTCAACTCTACTGAGCACCTTTGGGATGAATTGGTCAACTGCCAATTGCAGGACAAGTTTTCCTATCTAACATCAGTACATGGGCTCACAATTTGTTTCTGGCTAAATGGGCACAAATTCCTATAGATGCATTCCAAAATCCTGTAGAGAACCTTCCCAGAAGACGATCTTGAGCAGTTTTAGAGGTGTGCCAAGTATAGAGGTATGTGATTGGATTTCAAGAAGTTTTTGTGAGAAACTTTGTTCACAGGTTAAAAGCCACCGTGTTTCAGGGGAATTGCCTCTCCCTTCATCAGGGCTGTATAGGTTGATGTGGTCAGTGCTGGTCTGGACCTAACAATGCCAATATGATCTGACAGCACAAAAAAAGGCTACCATCAAAAGTGGACCTCTGGTTCCAAACCCACGCTGACCACATCAACCTACACAGCCCTGATGAAGGGGGAGGCAAATCCTCTGAAACCTGTTGGCTTTTAATCTGTGAACCAAGTTTCTCAATAAACATTTTGAAATCCAATCTCTGTTGTGATGTACTGTACCTCTACACTGGGCGTGTCTCTAAACTTGCTCAAAATCTTCCCTCAGAGCACATCTAAGCGGCTTCTAGAGAGGCAGCAGCCAGAGACTTATACCAGTCTCACCTGATACCATTCCCCCATTAGTGAGGGACCTCTCTGGAGGACACATTGTTCCTTCATTCAAAATCCAACCAAACACAGGTCCATTTCACAAAAAAATAATTGAATTCCCAAAAGAAGGAAGGTGTTATAGCCTCAAAGAGTAGGCCAACTTAATACTGATGCCTATGGCTTTGGTATAGGATGTCCAACAAGCTCCAATTGGTGTGATAAGCTGGTATCAACAAACATTTGGCTTTATAATGTACATGGTAGCTGCCACTTTATTAGGAGAAATACTTTTACTATCATAGCTGAACTTTCTGTCTAAGAGATTGTCATGCTGGTACTTAGGAATCGATGCTTAGTTATTCATCTGGAAAAAGCATTCTTGTCATCAGTCTGTGACTCACAAGTATTGTATCCAGATAACCAGGCAACTAGAATTTCTAGCAGGACAGCAACAGCAGCCCATACATTTTTTGACAATAGTACTTTAAAAAGGTTCAAGCATTGAGGCTGCATACTGGAGCAAATATACATGACAGAGTTCAGAATATTCATTCTTTACTGCTTGTTCCAGGTCAGTGACACTCAAAGTAACAACGTCAGGTTTAAAAAGACAACTCTGGAAGCTGCACCATTGAATGCAACTCAGCAAAAGATTCTGTTCTGTGTCTGTGCTCAAATCTTGTGATATCCTACATCTAGTTGTGTAGTACCAAAAATCGTGATAAATGGAGTCATTCACATGTGGTCTACATGATCAGTCTGCTCAACACCAGGTTAAGTTAGTTGAATAGTTTCTTGGTCCCTTATCTCTCTTCTGTATCCAAGCAGTAATGCCATATTCATAACACAACCCCCCTCACCAAAAGAGTCTCACCCCTCATGCTGCATTCTCCTTAAATGAGAAACTAGAAGTTAATGTATAGAGTCCATGAGCTATGGAATTAGCATATTTATATGGAGAGATCAGAAATGGTAGACTATACATTTTCTCAGTACCATGTGATATTATTCATTGAAGATGGTTGTAGGGGTGGTAGGAAGCTATAGCAGCATTAAGACAACAAGACCATTTTATATATCAGCTATATAAATTACATTAAACAACGAAAACTAATCCAGTGACACGATTTGTGTCCCATTGAGTTCCCTTTTCTCTGTTTTGATACGTTATGACTTCTGAGTTTCTGCGGAATCTTTTAATCCTTGTAAATCCCCCTGTTTTTCTGCCTAGTCCCACTCCTCCATACATTGTACAGTCTTCATTCAGGCTGTATGTCCCCCCCTTATCCCAGCTTACCGGCGAAGAGTGGGCTGCGAGTGTGGATGTGCAAGGACACAGTGGGATGCTCGCAAGGGACTGGCCCCCTTTGCTTTCATCCGTGCTCTTTGTAGCAGCTGCTTGGCCTGTTCGTGACGGCGCTGAGCTCCCTGGGAGAGGATTAGAAGAGATTTAATAATGACGCCACTTCCCTGAGTGCTACAAGCAACGTCAGACTGTAGAAAAATATAGGGCGAGAAGAGAGGCCAATGCTTACAGTGCCCCCTAATGGACCTGGGTATAAAAAAAAACAAAAAAAAAGAAAACACAAAATGCACCAAGAGGTAATATTAGGCCATAACCCATTTTAAGGCATGATTAGACAAGGACATCAGCGACAGGCAGACACGGATACATGACATATGGTTTAGGCTTAAAGATTAAAGGCGGTTGTCACTTCTGGCTTTGTACTAATGTGAAGTGCAGATGACAAATGAAATTCTACAAGCTTACAGTAAGCACACCCAAATACCAAGATGTGCCCCAGAGTTTCCATTCTAGCACCTATCCTGACAATAAAAGAGAAAGGGGGGAGCTCATGGAGATCACGTGGTTATACAGTACAATCCAATTCTGTGAAATGCATCTGTCTAAGATTAAGCAACCATTCGATGCTCAGCCGCTGCAGAAAAAGATCTCCTGTTGTGTTCTGGCAGCCAGTGACTAAGCATTGCTGGAAATTCCATTTCAACAACAGCCAATCATCCTCCATGACAGCACAAAAAGCCTTATGCATAAACCAAGCGTGTAGTGTATCGGAGCGGACTAGACTTTATTAAGGCTGAACATTAGGAAGGTATAAAAGACATAAAATAATGTAGCTCTGTATTCATTAATATATCATTACATTTATTTTTAAATGCAAACACTATAAATGCCTGAATATGACTTGGCATCAGCTTCTTGCGGCACCGCCACTCATACAGCAGAGCGTAGACTGGGAGAGGGAGAAGCAGCGCCAGGTCCAGTCCATTGTGCTGTAGTGCTAAAACAAGAAACATGCTGATAGTAGAAAAGAGCAGAGTAAGGGCTCATGTACACTGCAGCTCCTAAACTGACGTTCAGGAGCTGTTCAGCGGTTTTTTTCAGCAGCCCCTGAACTCTCCCTAATGTTTTGCTATGTGTCCATGTACACTATGTCGTTTACAGGCAGTTGAGTTTACAGTTGTTTTTTTTTTAACGCACCAAACTTGCGTTCAGGAGTAGATTTTACTGGCATTTCAAACAGCAAATGTTATAAGCGTTTGCGTTTAGAAGCGTGTTTTAACTGTTCCATATCCAGATGCTGTCCAGAGCCTTTTTTCATCATCAGAAATGCATGCAAAGCGTTTTCCATGTATTCAAATAGACCCGGTACACCAGCGCAGTCAGTTCCAGGTTTCGCGTGAAGGAAAAAATGGCAGAACGTGCTGCATTATGCTCATGATGGGATCCATATCGAATACAACCAGAAAAGACATGTCATCTCAACACATACTACTCTCTCTGCTTCTGCTCTCTCTATTTCTCTCAAAATGTCTGAAATAGTTAGTTATTTACTATTTTTCAGTGCATTCTGGGCATTTGGGAAGGTCTCCTGAGGTTATCTTTTAAAAACGCTTCTAAACGCAAACGCATATAAACGCAGTATGCTAAACTGACATTTTTTAACCTACATTTTCCAGCAGTTTCCAGCATTCAGAAGATTTTTCCAAATGCCCCGTGTACATGAGCCCTAACAGAGATGAGCTCAACAGTCTTCTGCTTCTCTCTTCACTGCCATAGAATTGTAGGTTCCGAGAAAGAGACAAGCTATCAAAAAGCATTAGCCTGTTGGATTGCTATATGTCCCACTATGTGATGTGATGCATTGTGGACTAGAAGTTGCTGTTTTTACTATAACAAGCTTTTATTCACCTGTTGGTTTGTGAGTATATTACTTACCATGGTTTTATTAATAAAGTCTAGTTTTGAGGATAATGCACTAGGCAGGTGAGCCCTGTTTTGTTTTATGGTTGCTGTTAGGAATGCGCCGATATCGAGTATGCGTGAAAATGTTCTCAATACCAGAAACCGATACTTTGTTGTGTGATTTGCATCAATACAAATTGCACCGCAAAGATTAGCATTCAATCTGAACAGGAATGCAATTCCCCAGGGTTTTTTTTCAGCGGGAACGTGGGGGAACGCAGTTCTGGTACCTCCAGCACCGAATGCATGTAATGGCAAGGGATGTGCTGGAGGATCTATTGAGGCTGGCTACTGTGGGATCTATTGTCACTGGTGGGGATCTTGTTTGTATGGGGTCTATTGTTTGGGGGGGGGGCAGGCAAAATCAGCATGCAATTTGAACAGGAATGAGATTCTCCGGGGTTTTTTTGCAGCGGGAACGGGTGGGGGTGGGAACGCAGTTCTGGTACCTCCAGCACTGAATGTATGTAATGGCAAGGGATGTGCTGGAGGAACTATTGATGCTGGCTACTGGGGGATCTACTTTTGTGTGGGGGTCTATTGTTGCTGGGGGATCTATAGTTGCTGGCTGCAGGGGATCTATTTTACTGCCTCTCTTGTTATTAACAAATTCCATGCAAATTATTTAGCACCACAAAATGATACTTGGTTCTGTATTCTCTAAAGGGGCAGTAGTGGGAGCAGTGGAGGACTGACAACTCATAGGGCCCCCGGGCAATAGGGGATCATAGGGCCCCTGAGTCCTTGTCAAAACTCAAAAAAGCCTATGAAAAAGGTACCAGGGGCATCTCATGGGGCCTCCTACTGACCCCGGGCCCTCGGGCAGTGCCCGAGTTTCCAAATGGTCAGTCCGCCCCTGACTGGGAGGTAGGTAGGGGCTGGAACCAAGGTATGGTACTCAGAGGAGGGAAGAGGGTGGAGGCAAGGGGATACTCAGAAAAGGGGAGTTACTGCACTTATTCTTTATGAAAAAAAGCTCTGACAATACCTGTCCAAATTGCATGCGGCTTCACCACTGCTCCTGTGTGAACCCAGGCTGGTCATAGCCAGAGTTCACACATGAGCAATGCAGGAAACCTCCCTGCATGGATCCCAGGCTGAGCAGTGGGTGGGTGTGTGGGGATGTATACTATGGAGACTGTTGCTCCATATTCTCAGTGGTAGGAGAGGAGAGAAAGGAGAGATTTGAACTCCCCGTCGCTTTCTCTCCTCTCGCAGTATTGACATTTTGGGCTAGACGGCATCGGATTGTCCATGTGACGATCTTGACCAATCAAAAGACCTCTAGCCCAAGGGCTAGTCCACGATGCATCACATCACATAGTGGGACATATGACAATCCAAAGGGCTAATGCGTTTTGATGCCTTGCCTCTCTCCTCTCCTACCACTGAGGATATGGTGCAACTGCCACCATAGCATACATCTCCACTCTCCACTGCGGGAAATCTCCCTGCACCGTTCTCCTGTTTGAACTCAGGCTATGACAGTCCTGGGTTAACACAGAAGCAATGGGGAAACCGCATGCAATTTGTAAAGGAATCGCATGCTAATCTTTGTAGTTCAATTTTTGTCCATATATTTTGTATTGATGCAAATTGGGCCGCAAAGTATCGGTATCGGTAAGTACTTGATCGAATGTATTGGTATTGTATTCGCCAATAAAAAACAGTATTGGTGCATCCCTAGTTGCTGTATAACTATAACAAGGAACATGCTGATAGTAGAAAAGAGCAGAGTAATAGGGACATTACTGACTCAACAGTCTTCTGCTTCTCTCTTCACTGTCCAGTCTCAGGTTAGGGGAGGAATAAGATCTGTAAATGTTACAATAGAGAAATCAGGTCTCCTGCTCTGCCAAACAGGCCTGTGCTGCATAACAGAGCTATATAAATCTAAGGAGTGGATGGGCAGAAATATACATCTTTTATCAGGAAAAAACAGCTGTATGTCATTTGTATGTTTAGCTGTTCCCCTGGAGTTTAACTTAAAATGCCATCTATCATGTTTATTTACAGTTGTGCTCAATAGTATGCATATCCTGGCAGAAATGGTGAAATTTTGGAATTTGTATTGAAAATTTGACTGGTCGTGCCAAAAAACTGTCTTTTATTTAAGGATAGTGATCATACGAAGCCATGTATTATCACATAGTTGTGTGGCTTCTTTTTAAATCATGATGACAACAGAAATCACCCAAATAGCACTGATAAAAAGTTAACATACCCTGGAATGTTTGGCCTTGGTACAGGCACACAAGGTGACACACCCAGGTTGGAATGACAATTGCAGGTTAATTTCCCACATGTGACTTTTTAAACTGCCATTAGTGTCTGTATATAAATAGACAATGAATTTGTTAGCTCTCATGTGAATGCACTGAGCAGGCTAGATACTGGGACATGGGCAAGAGAAAAGAACTGTCAAAAGACCTGTGTAACAAGGTAATGGAACTTTATAAAGATGGAAAAGGATATAAAAAAGATATGCAAAGCCTGGAAGAAGTGGAAAGTTCTGGGATCTCTTGATATCAAACCAAGGTCAGGTAGACCAAGAAAGATTGCAGACAACTGCTAGAAGAATTGTTCAGGATACAAAGAAAAACCCACAGGTAACGTTAAGAGAAATACAGGCTGCTCTGGAAAAAAGACAGTGTGTTTCTTAAAGTGGTTGTAAAGGCTCAAGGTTTTTTACCTTCGTGCATTCTATGCATGAAGGGAAAAAAAAATCTTCTGTGTGCAGCAGTGCCCTCAGCCCTTTCATTACTTACCTGAGCCCCATCGCAATCCATCGATGTGCACAACAGCTTCGGCTGTACTGGGTCTCTGCCTCCTCATTGGCTGAGACAGCAGCGGGACTCATTGGCTCTTGCTGATGTCAATCACAGCCAGCCAGCCAATAAGGAGAGAGAGGAGCGGGGTCAAGGCATGGCTCTGTGTGTGAATGGACACAAGGAGCAGTGGGTGCCCCCATAGCAAGCTACTTGCTGTGGGGGAATCTGAAAGAAAGGAGGAGCCAGGAGAGCCTGCGGGGCCCTGAGAAGAGGAGGATCTGGGCTGCTCTGTACAAAACCACTGCATCTAGCAGGTAAGTACAAATGAGCCTTTAATATTGCTTTAAGGAGCACAATAGAATGATAGTTGAACAAAAATGAGCTGCATGGTCGCATTGCCAGAAAGAAGACTCTACTGCACCAATGCCACAGAAATCCCTACAAATAACAGAATCCATTGGGCCCCCCCCCCCCCCCGGTCACCATAACTAGTGTCCCTCCATTGCAAGATTTTCCCTCTATTACTGTTCTGGGGACAGCCCAAAATTTGGGATTTTCTTTTACTTTCACCGATAATGGTAAACAAGATAAATTGAGAGAGTGAATCTCCCTAATGGATATATGGACAGGAATAAAAAACTAATAGGTGTTTGTAGGCAGGAGGAGGTTGCTTCCTTCACTGTAGGTAGCCCTCGACTGGAGCAGTGCTGCAGTTGGAGAGAGGAAGTCAAGAGGAACCTGATTTCTTTAGGATTTCCTTGTCACGCGTACCAGTTGCCTACACTGCATCCAGGTGACCCTGGTGGCCATCTTGGGTCAGTGGAATCTTTATAAGTCCCTGCCCCCAGGTTTTTCTGGCATGGTTTCTGTGTAGTGGATATGGAGTGCAGCAGCTACCCACATGTTCATATCCGTCTCCACTCTATCTAAAACAAAGAAGGTTTTTCCTTTAGTTATACTTTAAGAACATATACTTTACATTTTTAAGCCAGAGTTTAGTGTCACTTTAACCAAATGACAGCTAGAGCACGGTTACCCAGTTCTGGGAGGGCATCATATGATGTCCTCCCAGAACGCACCCTCCTGCGCGCTCCCATGGGCACAGCTGATCATGTGATGAGGTAAAAGGCCAATCACTGCAGACCTTTACCACGTGATCAGCTGTGTCCAATGACACAGCAGATCACAAAGTAAATACAGTTGCTGGTTATCAGTAGCACTTTCCTCATGCTGTTACAGCGTGAGGAAAATACTACCAATAACCAGCAGCTGTCACAGAGGAGATCGACACTGATCATCAGTGCCCTGCAGTGGCGACCCTGCAGAGCCACCCATCAGTGCCATCAGTCAGTGCTGTCAGTCAGTGTCTTCAGTCAGCGCCGCCCATCAGTGCAGCCTATCAGTGCAGCATCATCAGGCCTCCTCATCAATGCCCACCAGTGCCACCTCATCAGTGCAGCCTATCAGTGCCCATCAGTGCTGTCTATCCGTGCCACCTCATCAGTGCTGCCTATCAATACAGTCTCATCAACCCACATCAGTAAAGGAGAAAAACTACATGTTTGCAAAATTTTATAATAGAACTGAAGAAAACTTTTTTTTTTTCAAATTTCTTGCTCTTTTTTTGTTTATAGTGCAAAAAATAAAACACCCAGTGGCGATTAAATACCACCAAAAGAAAACTCTATTTGTGTGAAAAAAAAATAAAAAAAATGTCATATGGGTACAGTGATGCATGACCACGCAATTGCCATTCAAAATGCAACAGCACTGAAAGCTGAAAATTGGCCTGGGCAGGAAGGGGGTATAAGTGCCCAGTAGGCAAGTGGTTAAACACACTGCAAGTGCAGAAACATAACTGTTGATGTGCTAGAAATATAATGTGCTTCTACACTCCTCTTTGACGTGACAGCACAAGTCTGTTTTTCTAAGCAGGTGGTGTCAGCCCTGCCTACTTCATTTCTGATTACAAGAACACAGAACTCTCATCTCCTCCCGCTTCTTATCTCCTCATCTCCTCCCGCTTCTTATCTCCATAACCCCTCCTTGTGCACAGCTCACAAGATTTCTTGCAAAATCAACAGGTATTTTTTCACTTCTCAAACGTAAAAAACACTTTTAATGGTATAGTTAACAGACCAAAAGGGAGAAAATAAGAGAAATTAATTCTTAGGGTTTACATACACCTTAAGGAATATTATTGTATTCTCTCTCCACTCCCAGTTTCTTAAATAGACAGCGAAAGAGCAGCAGCAGAACAAAAAAAAGTAATCCCTCTGCTCACGTAGCCTATCAGCATATTCCTTGTCAACTTCCAGTCTAAGTGCCATTGTACAGGGGATTGCACAAGGTTGATGCAGAGGCGTTAGTTATTATGTTGCTGTTTTTTATAATTTTTCAGAGTTCAGCTTTTGAAATACAATTATTTAGTGTTGGCTTTACTGCTTTCCTCTGATATCTTACCCATTGTCTTCAGTCCCAGGTATTTCCAAACCTAAGTCTCCATCTATGTCACCTGTGATTATCCCTGCAATAGAGGAAGTACAGTTATATAAGAATGGCATTAATTGTTCCATATCATATACCCCACTAGCTCCACTCACAATTATACTCACAGCTTTTGGTGGTCTGCCCTTGGCTGAGTACACGACTGTGAGTGATCTCTCCACCATGATCGTCTGCTTTGCCAAATTTACTCCTCAGCTCCTGTCGGTTTCTCTCTACTCTTTCAGCCAGGGTCAGAGAGACTGAATCCCATTCCGTAGTGTTCTCTGGTACACCTAGATCATTAGATGAAGACTGGAGCCTCTCCTGAAGACAGAGTGAAGAGTTGTTCTCTGGGCTCTGACTGTGGTTTGATGGGCTTCCTATTCTGCAGCCATTGCTGTGGGTGTTTGAGGACCCATCTGAGCTGTATGTCCCCCACAGCTCATCACATCCCCAGCTCCCTTGGTGAGCACCAGAATATCTTCCATGCTTAGTACAGTCCAATAACTCTTCCGTAAGGTAGGTTCGGAGTTGAGGAGACACCAGAGCATCTTCATTGTCCTTTTCTCCACCTTCATCTTCCAACATTCTGATCTCCTTTCTCTCCTTCATGTACTTTTCCTTCAGGGCCTTCACCTTGCCTTGTAACACAGAAGTCCTCGCCCCATATTCTTCTTCATGCTTTACTGGCTTATCAAACTGTTCGGTATTTCTGGTCCTACCACCTGCAGCTCGGTCTTTCCTTGAGGGTTTGTGCACCAAACTCTGTTTCTCTTCTCCAGCAGAGATACATAGTCTTGGGTTAACCTCCGCTGCCATTTTTGCCACATTCAAATGTGACCTGAAAATAAAAAAAGATTTTTAAAAAATAAAACAGCAATGAAAATTAACTAACGGATCATTTGATCAAAGCAAAGTGGAAGAGTTCTCATCAGCAACCAACATCCAGGTTTTGCTTTTAATAGCCTAGAGATGGGTAACGTAAAGCCCCGTACACATGATGAGAATATTGAACAAATGATCATCTGTTTTTATTTTTTGCATGCTAGTCTCATATCGAAAGTGAAGAGGTTATTAAAGTTATGAAGATTCTTGTACGGCAGAAATAAAATTCGGAAGTGATGTAATGTATTTGTATTGTATTTTCGGACAAAAACTGTACTGATTAAATGAAAATCATACAATTTGGTATCATACAAGAAAGATTTTCGTACTGGTCTCTTCAAATAATTTCATATGATTTTCTGATCGTGTATACTAGGCTTTCAGCTGCAAAACACAGTCTGTATGTCAGACATCTCAGTCTTTTTTTGTGACAGCTATGTATCACTGTACTTTGAACTCATTAGCAGCCAGGGGATTGACTAGAAATGGAGAGGAGGGCTTAGCAGATGGCTTGACAAAAAGTCAAAAGTTGTATATCAGTAACAGTGTTATTTGGTCTGCTTGGTCTGTATGCTATGGAGAAATTAGTGCATTTGAAACAGCTGGTGGAGTAGATTAGAAGATAACACTCTGCTTAGGGAGGGACAGGCTTATTTCAAGGTCTCATGCACACTGGGTACCCTAGAACATGAAATCAGGATGTTTTGGTGCAGGTGGAAGGCAAAGTCGCATTGTCCAACCCTGCTTCTGGCAGCCTGCAAACTTTATGAGAAGATGAAAAATGCTGCAGCTTGATGGCAATGGATGATGCACCAAGTCATACTAATGTTTAGGGCAGTATGTGCTCACAGACATGTCTGGAACACAAGCAGTCTGCTTTCCAGGGCACATACGGCTCAGTGCACTATTCAGCCCTGTCAGCCACAGTAACTTTCAGCCTCTCAGAGTTTTACAGGCTTCATCAGGCTGTGGGGATTGATGATGCATCTGATTTTTCCATTCACACCAGTATGCTAGGATCTAATGCATCAGAACTAAACACCCAGTGAGGACTACACCGTCAGATCATTAGCTAGCAAGTGAACATCTCAAGTCTACAAGTTCCTCAACTCTGCCTGAGAGTACAGTCCAGCAATAGAAGAAAAAGACATTAGCCAAATATTTTGAGTACAGGTGCTGTTGTGTTCTGAGCCTGTCAATAGTTGTCTATAGTTTGAAGATTTACCCATTCCAGCCAAAAAGCAAACCTGCTGATACAGCAGAGACAGATTGGGCTTGAAAAAGAAGTGCTTTGCTCAGGAATTTCAGAATGGCAAATGTTGGCAGTGAGAGAGCAGAGGTAAGACATAAATGTATTGTAAAATTTCTCATTTCAATTCCAAACCAGATCTCATTTCTCATTTTCTAGGCCAGAGGTTGATGATTACCCAACATCTTTTCACTTGGAAGAATACAATAACATTCAACTTAAAGAAAATCTGTATGGAAGGATATATGAATTCTTGCCATTGCAGATGCCTCCTAAAATTGTTGGTTCCTTGGCCGTCTCAGACATTGATCCCTTTGATCTAATACTTTGAGTCACCAACCTGGAACAAGTATGCTGTTAGAAGTATACACATGGAGATCAACTTATTGTAAAAAATCTTATCAATGTGCGTTTATGGTATAATAAGTCTGGTTTCCTTGTAATTACATATTTATATGGGGACAGACATATTTTCTCCGCTTCCTCCTCTGTGGTTGTCTTTACTGTTGCTTCCCACAAATTATTAATCATTGCTAATCTACAGATCATTATGTAGCACCCTCCTAGATAGGTGCTAGGATTAGTTAGATTTAGTGCTGGCTCACTTTATTTAATGGAGCTGTGTGTTTTTGCTTGGTAAATTTAGCTTGCCTCACTGTAACCAGTGTGGCTGAAATTGATTAGTTAGGTCTGTTCTGTGTTCCCAGCTGCTACTAGTCTGCTTACTCCCTCTGCTTTCCAGAAAGCCATGAGAACTTTCTGGATCATAGGTGTGGAGCTGTGCAGATGGCAGTATGAATATTTCTTGCAGCCCTGCCCAATCCCAGGGAGTTGGGCCTGGAAGCCATGCTGGGAGTCTGTATATATTCTCTGAGCACACTGAGCTGTGGGTTTTTTCCTGCGGAGGATCAGTCCAGCCTAGAGAGCTTGCTGTCCTCCAGGGCAGTGTTGCCATGTGTTTGCTGTTCACGAGGTCTCAGGTGGGCACCCTGTGGGCCAGGATGCTGAATCTGCTGAGAGCTGACTAAGGGGCCATCTGCTGAAGTCTGGTGTCATCTGGTGAAGTCTGAAGGAAAGTGTCTCTTGGAATTTGGAAGGAGGATATTTTGTGAGTACAGACTGCTGAGAGATCTTAGAGACTTTTGGGCTGCTGCCACCCCTCCTGTGCTAGAACATCAGCGATGTGTATGCTAAAGGGGACATTGGTTGGTGTCCTGGAAAGCTTAGTTTATCTAATTCCTTGTGAAGGGACTATGCTTTTATTGCTCTAAAGAAAGAAGCTTGTGTGCTTTAACTGCTTCCACTACAGAAGAGCTCAGTCTATCTAGTTCTTTGTGAAGGGACTCTGCTCTTGGTGCTCTAAAGAAAGAAGCCTGCTTCTAATTGCTTCTATTACAAGTCAAGTCCACACTTTGCTATATGCAAGGACTCCTGCTTCAGCTTTACAGAAAGGACTGCACTGTCCTCAACTTGTACACAGTTTCTGTTTTTGGAGTATCCCACTAAATTCCTTCAACCCTATCCAAGTTCTCCAAAAATAAAAACAACAAAAAACAATACCCCTAGACTGGTTATTAGGAACAGTGTGGCTGAGTTCATGTGCCTGGTTGTGGGGAAATCCACTGGGAGAGAACCTGAGGAAGAACTTTACAGAGGGAGTACGCACTACAATTAGATCACTTCTTTATAATAGGTATTTCACTGACCGGTGATAACATTATGACCACTGACAGGTAAATAACATTAATTATATTGTTACAATGGCATCTGAAAGTAGGTGGGATAAAACAGGCAGCAAGTAAACATTTTGTCCCTGATGTTGCTATGTTGAAAGACAAAAAAAAAATATGGGTAAGCGTAAGCATTTGATCAAAATTTGAAAGGGCCAAATTGTAATAGCTAGAAGGCTAGCACTAGGTCAAAGCATCTCCAGAACCGCAGCGCTTTTGGGATGTTCCTGGTCTGCAGTGGTCAAGAACTACCAAAATTGGTCTAAGGAAGGAAAACCAGCTGACAACAGGGTTATGGGCAGCCAAGGCTCATTGATGCATGTGGGGAACGAAGGCTGACCCATGTAGTCAAATCCAATAGAAGAGGTACTGTAGTGCAAATTGCTTAAAAAGTTTGATGGATCTGATAGGCATCAGAATACACAGTGCATTGCAGTTTGTTGAATATCCTGCGTAGCTGAAGACTGGTCAGGGTGCCTTTGCTGACCCATGGGTAACACAGTGGCTAAATGGTTAGCACTTCTGCCTGGCTAGGGTCATTGGTTTGAATCCCAGCCATGGCACCAACTGTCTGGAGTTTGTATGTTCTCCCTGTGCCTGCATGGGTTTCCTCCGGGTACTCCGGTTTCCTCCAACACTCAAAAGACATGCTGTAGGTTATTTGGATCCTAAATAGGCTAAATTTGTCTAAATAGGCCCTAGTATGTGTATGTATGAATGTAAGTTAGGGACCTTAGATTGCACGCCCCTTGCGAGTTAGGGACTGATGTGAATGTACAATATACAGTTGTGTTCAAAATAATAGCAGTCAGACATCACTAACCTGATCAATCACTGTTTTTGGTAGAAATTATATTTCTACATGGCAAATAATTTATTAGCAGGTGTAGTAGAGTAATAAAAATCCAACAGACCCAACAGTCATGACATGCATGTTGCTGATTCTGTGTAATTGAATCACTAATTGAAAGGGCATGTTCAAAATAATAGCAGTGTGGAGTTCTATTAGTGAGGTCATTCATTCTTTGAAAAACAGGTGGCAATTATTGCCCTTATTTAAGGAAGGAAGGCAGCAAATGTTGTACATGCTGGTTACAGTGCATTTCCCTCTGAAATCTTGAGGAAAATGAGTCGTTCCAGACATTGTTCAGAAAACAGCGTACCTTGATTAAAAAGAAGTGCAGAAAATGATAAGCTACTCAGCTAAAATGATCGCAAATGCTTTAAAATGGCAACCAAAACCTGAAAAATGTGGAAGAAAGCGAAAAACTACCATTCGAATGGACAGAAGAATAGCCAAAATGGCAAGAACTCAGCCAACAACCATCTCCAGGAAGATCAAAGAAGGTGTAAAGTTACCTGTGAGTACTGTTACAATTAGAAGACGCCTATGTGAAGCCAAGCTATCTGCAAGAAACCCCCGCAAAGTCCCACTGTTGAAAAAAAGACGTGCTGAAGAGGTTACAGTTTGCCAAAGAGCACATTGACTGGCCTAAAGAAAAATGGCGCAACATTTTGTGGACTGATGAAAGTAAGATTGTTCTTTTTGGGTCTAGTGGCCGGAGACAGTTTGTCAGACGACCCCCAAACACTGAATTCAAGCCACGGTACACTGTGAAGACGGTACACTGTGAAGCATGGTTGCTCAAGCATCATGATATGGGGATGTTTCTCATACTACGGTGTTGGGCCTATTTATCGCACATACCAGGGATCATGGATCAGTTTGAATACATCAGAATACTTGGAGGTCATGCTGCCTTATGCTGAAGAGGAAATGCCCTTGAAATGGGTGTTCCAACAAGACAAATTGACGGCACTATAGAAGCATCTGAAATAAATACAATAATTATTACAATAATAAATGTCCACAGGCAGAAGCGACTACACCATCAGAAAGTGCACCAAGGAGCAATGGAAGAAGGTGGCCTGGTTTGATCAATTCAAGAATGGTT